TTTCTGTATTCGCTGTGAATAATGGAATAAATTAAGATAATTTTATAAAAGTTACTTGTTAGTACGCGTATTAAATGTTCAAATGTGCAAATTAGGTTAGGACATTGCTAGAACATAAATTAGAAAGAGAGAAAAGGTTATAAACAGATAGCAGAAGTGAGATAGAATACAGTGCCCTGATTGGTTACGCGCCTCGGCCGCGCATGCGCACTCCATTTTAGGCTTCACTAACATCAAAGGTACCGACAGAGAGTTGCGTTACTGTATGTACTGTGGTAATACATGCCTAAGTCTGATTGGCTGTTATTGTACGCATGCGCAAGTGACAAGTGTGATATATGTGCATGCAACTCTAACCTCTAACTGGGTTCAAGTCTCAGCATCGGTGAAGTCCTGACATTTTTTCTCGGCTTAGCTCTCACATAATATCTTGAAATTAAAATGGTGCAATGTTGTGTACCGAATTGTAAAAATAGATCCGACATTTAAAATTGGAAATGGACAAGCAGTGTGAACAAAAATCGTAAAATTACATTGTAATTTATGTATTTTTTTTATTACACTCTGTTCTCTGTTCCTTTTATTCTGCATAGCTTTTAAGTATTTTAATACGTATATTGCCTTGGATTATTATTATTATTAATTTATTTTAATACGTTTTTTTTTTTATAAATGTTACTCTCGAGAAGAGCACAACAAATTTCGGTTTCACATTTTCAAGCAATATCACATGTTATGGAAAAATTTAATTCTATAATTTTTATTCTACGTAGTATTATATAATCCATCTATATAAATCTAAAATCCTAATTTGTATTTTTTTTATCTACACTAAGAAACAAATTTGTGGTGTTAAATTTTAATAAATATTTCGTTGAAGTGTCCTAATGGAATATTTACTTATGGTAAATAAATATTTAGATAAATGAAAAAAATGATAGTTGATTCAAACTAATGATTCTTAGATCTAATAAATACGTCTTTACATTTATTAAATGTTTCGCTAGAACTATTCAAAGAAATATTTATTAAAATTTAGTAAATTTTTTCATAATGAATAAAAGTACCAAATAAATAGTAATTGTTTAATATTGAATATGCGTACATATTTTTATTTTTCTCATTAGAACTTCTATATAATTCCTTCTCAGATTTCTAATTATTGTTTTATTTTGTTAATCTTATTGGTAATGGGTTACAATTAATTTTTTAACAACGAATTTTTATCATTTTGTTTCGATCATTTATTTGCGATTGGCCGCAAAGTCGATGTTACACGATACTGAGCATGCGCATAGCTGTAGCCAATAAAATTTAGGCATGTACTCCCCCCGCATTTCAGAATAACCCCCCTCGCCTATCTTCGGAGCTAATGCTCTGTCCCTATATTTCTATGTCCATGCATCGACACAGTGTCGAACGCGGTGCTTTCCAACAACGACACGCCACGACACGATTCGACACAGCAGAAAAGCATAGTCGGACACTCTTGGTTATGGTTGCTAATTTTCGATTGGCGCTTTAGAATATTTACATTTTAAATATACAGTACTGGACAAAATAAAGTACGCACTTCAAATATTTTCACATTTATGCGAATATCTCGCCAGTGCTGGCAGATCGTATAATGATGAATAAGGTAAAAGAAAGGTATTTTAGTCTACTTTACAATAATGATTACAAAAATTTCAAAAACAATACGAAATACTTTAATAGTCAAGTCTGTTACATTTATTATCAAATTTATCGCGGACAAAATAAAGTACGCACAACATTGTTTATGAGTATAATAACAACTGGCGCTGTTGATGATGAAAGATACATAAAGATAACAATAAAGGATATATAAACAAATGAATAAAGCAGGTTTTTTAGTTAATAATATTGCTAGATAGAATATAATAAGAATTCTTCATCAGTGAACATGGAAACCAAGCAAATTTCTTTGCTAATTCGAAAACTGATAATTTATAAATTCAGGATTGTCAGAAGGAGCTTTCTAATAGAAAAATCGGTCACAAGTACAACGTAAGTGAAGGCGCAGTCCGAAAGATATGGAAAAAATTCCAGAAGCTTGGCACAGTAACGGATAAGACAGGACGTGGATGGAAGAGGAAGACAAATCCAAACGAAGATCGCAGAATCATACGGAAAGTAAAGAAAAATTCAACTGTTACTAGTCGTGTTATCCGAGAAAACCTACAATTAAATATTTCCGAACGAACAGTGCGGATGAGGAGACTTCGGGAAGTTGGACTTAGAAACAGTTTTGCAGTGCGCCGTCCTTTGATTCGGAAGGCCAATAAAATCAAATGTCTAGAATTTGCAAAAAAATACGTTAACAAGTCAGTGGATTTCTGGAAAAAGGTCCTTTGGAGTGACGAAAGCAAATTTAAACTTTTCGGTCATAAACAGCGACCACGGGTCTGGTCAAAGCCTAGCGAAAAACTTCTTGACAAAAATATTCAAAAAACACTCAAACATGGAGGAGGCAGCATAATAGTGTGGGGATGTTTTGCGTGGTCTAGTTTGGGAAATCTAGTTAAAATCGACGGTATAATGACAGCAGATGTATACATTGATATTCTCAATGAAAATTTAGAAGAGTCTCTGCTAAAGGTTGGTCTGAAGAACAACTTCATTTTTCAACAAGATAATGATCCCAAACATACTGCTCGTAAAACTACCGCTTTTTTTCGTACTTCTGGGATCAAACTGCTCGATTGGCCAGCGCAATCGCCAGATCTGAATCCGATTGAAAATTTGTGGTCGATTTTGGACCTGAAGCTTGATAAAGGGGAAGTAACGAATAAAATTAAGTTGTTGGAAGCATTAATGAAAGCATGGAAAAATATCGATCAGCAACACATCGAAAACCTTGTCGAAAGTATGCCTCGACGTTTGCAAGCCGTCATACAAGCAAAAGGTGG